TCACCCTAGTCGCCACGCGACCAAAGATCGGAATTTGATTGGTCTGTTAAATATAACAATATATAGTCAATGAGCATCTTCAGCTGTTTTGTTCACATGCAATGGGAAGGTGAGACATCTGGGATTGTTGAGATTACCGCAGACCGCCCTCAACGAACAAAGTCAACTTTGAAACAACACGTTGCGGTTCTAATCAGATATGCCAGTTATAGAGATTTAAAAAGATTACACAACGATTACTTTAATTAATACAGATTACTTCAGCGCTCTTGGAAAATTGTATCACAAAGTTTCCATGTGTAATATTAGTTTCAATTGCAGCTGAAAATATACTCAGTTTACATATTTTTAAGTCGCCATTTTGATCTGTACGATACGGTACACTATGACTAGTGACATAGTGCTGAGGATATCAAAAAAACAAACAAACACGTAATTGTTTCCTTACTTTCATAAGACTAAAACTCAAAACCATATGAATGTTGTTGCCATTGGAATGTATTCACGGAAAACACATGCGCCTGACGCAATGCTTTATGTAAATGAGTTATGTGATTGATTTGTTTTTATTATTGTTATTATAGTTACACTTAACGAGGAAACTGGGGATACTCCCGAGATCGTACCTGTAGAGGAGGTGCCAGTAGAAGAGAACGGCAAAGCTAAGCAGCCCGAGGAACAAGCCAACAGTAAACCGGAAGTGGAGACGAAACCGGAAGCCCAGCCTATTGAGACTCAAACGCAATCACCAACAGAGCAGCTACAGGAGAAGTCGGAGAGTTCAGATGAGAAAATGAAACCTGATACGACAGAAACTGCGGACAGCCAACCACAATCCCCTGCAAGCGGTGGAACCAGCTCACCAGTGCCGTCTCCCGATGACGTCACAGTACGTACAGTGGTTACGGAGAAGGTGATCGATGAACCCAAGAGCATTCCGGTAATCATCGACACTGCACAGGCAACAGATACTACTAAATTGTTGGAGTCAAATGAAACACAATCGGAATCGTATTCTGGATCAGAAAGTCACTTCAAAGAATCAACAGCGACAAGTCGCGTGGTGAAGACAACAGTGGTCACCGAAAGATACACGTTAGACGCCTCATCTGATGGCGGTCCTACCAATGCTATTACAACTACTGAAACTGTTACGGAAAAAATCACAACAGAAGAAGATGAAGTAATCAATAAAGCTGAGGAAAAAGAGACTTAGATCCGTCTGATTATCAGTGAAATTCTAGTGAAAATAAAAGTTACTTTGCGGAGTAGGATAGAATAGAACAATATAGGCATGTTTGGTATATGTGCAACTATACTCGAAAGTGAAACTCCTTGAAAGTTGAACGTACAAAGATAATAAAATACAATAAAATACTCAACTGGCCACTCGGTGTGTGAAAAATGTCTTTTGTTTTTATACACTCGTGCTTTTCACACACAAAATAACTGTTTTACAGAAGTACTAGAATGGTGAAAAAAATATTTTCTAACTCTTTGACGAAACATTTTGTTTGTTATTATTATTGTATTGAAGGCTATATAGTAATCGATATTGTACATCGATTTATTAACCAGGAATAAAGTTCAAGGTATTTATAATATTCTAGCATACATTATTATTATTAATAACAGCGTCATCTATATCACACTGACTAAGCTAATCTAGTTAGCGTTGACATATTAATAGTTTTGCTAAAAGACTAGACAAGAATCAGCCCGAGCAATAACACATTTACAGTCTAAATCATGGTGGCGTTATAGCAGATACTATTCATACACAGGATGATAGCAAATCGTATCATCGATGTGTATTATCTTTTTCACCACCAGTTCCCTCTTTTTATCACAAATTCACAAAATAGTTCCGTTTATAGTCTGCACTTTCCTTCAGAAGATTGGAACAAAAATATCCAATTGTTTTGAGTACAAACTGAAAATTAACTCCAATTTTGTCTGTTGGCTCCAAAATCGGAAATATTGAAGAATATAAGAAAAAAAGTGCAAACAACGAGAAAGTCTGGTAGAGAAAAGGTAAACAGTCAACAAAGGGGTGCAATTACCTCAGAATATAGAGCGTAGATGTAATCGTTGTTTTTACGTGAGCATTCAAGACATCTAGGCGTTCGGTCAATGACCCATTATGTCTTACATGAGTTGGAGACAACGGGATCACGGCATAACCTACTGGTGATGCCTCATTGCCCGAAACGCCTAGTTGTTTTAACACATTATCAGTACAAAATTTCTGTAATAGATAATTCACGAGTTTAATAGATTATTTGTGTTATAGTCATCCATTTGTGATTATTTGTGCAATGCAATAACGACGTCACCATGACATCATTGAATTGTCATTGAGTTAAGTTTGATGGCGAGGTATTGCGATTCAGACCGATTCAGATTAAGATGTGTTGTCCGCCGGACTGTACGCGACCTTATGGAAATCGTGTTGATGACCAAAGTGTGGTCGGTGAAAGCCAAGTACAGAAATGAACGCCGAGTCTAATTCAGTTTCATCTGTAATTCTGAATTCCACAGGGGACTTGGGTTAATATAATCAGAATCCTTCGATTTCTCCTACAAGTCACGATGTACATCACTGCCACGCCTATATGGTGATATATAAAATAAACTTTGTTGCAAAAAGTTGCAGTTTCGTGTAATGTGTTGTATGATCATTGGAATATATACTGTAGAATACTTTATTTTAGCTGGAAATAATTTTCCCTGAAAAGACTTTTTAGGTGTTTTGTATAGAATTTATTTTCACTGATTTTTGACAAGTTGAATGTAAAATATAGAAAAAGGTATATTCACTGGTTTTTATTTTCACTGAATCATTCCTTCAGTGGAAATAGCGAAAATTAATTCCAAGCGAAAATAAAGTATCTTCAGTAATCTACTTTAAACCGTAGATTCTGATTGGTAAACAAATTTTGTTGCGTGATAAGTAATAGGTTACCATGGAAACGTACATTGGTAAAATACAAAGCGCCATGTATCATCGACGTCGCGGTATCAGTGCTCCCGGCCCTAATCTCACCATTAAACAAAGCGTCAATCATAGTAGACACATCCAATGAAAAAACGATGTCGCCGTCAGCGTGCCCTGCCACTAGAGGGCGCCACTTAAAGGAATGATTGATTGACATTACTGTTTTTGAGGTTATTTGCTAGGATGTCTTCTTTTATGAGAAAAAATACTGCATGGAGTTTATATTCACATATCTTTGAGTACATTTGCGTTATGATATGCCTTTATTAATAATGAGAATGAAAACAACTATAACAGTTAAATGTAATGCGTCACAAATAGGAGAGGAGTAGATAGTTATTCAGAGGCACACCACTGATAATATTGCACAATTATTTAATTTACAGAAAAAATCAGAAATCGTCTTCAAATCAAGGATCTGGAGTTGTAATTTTAACAAGATAACTCGATAGGCGAAATTAGTTGTCTGTTATCATAATCAAAAACTATAACTGCAAAGGTGAAATAATGACGTCATCCCTAAAGTTATATTGTCGCAAATTTTGTTCGATGAATCTTTTGACATGTCAAGTAATACGTGTAATGTAATAAATACAACAGTTATGATATTTGCAACATATCCAACTTGCCAAGATCTGAGCATCTGAACTGTTCCGGGGTTCTCTGTTCGAAAATCAAAGATGGACTATATTACAAACTCAATATTCGATGTGAAGCATTTTTCGTTAATATTAGTAAGAAATGCACACGGATTGAATTGTTTTCTAGTCATTAGATCCGTTCCATTTGAATTTATAGGACGCCTGTTTCACTATGTTACCACTGCGTCTGCGCAAACTTCAAACGTTAAATGCTTTTCAGGCTGGTTCTGTTTAGCGTGCACGCCCGGAAGTTGAATTTGAACAACAATGCATGACGGGATATATTGATATAATAATTTTGTCAATACATGGCACGTCAGGTGCCAGTTAGTATCACTAGCGAACCCCGTAACTTTCAATTTCGATTTTTGGCCAAGTTACTCAAATTGAAAGGGCTTCCAACTAAGTTTGATTCATTTCTTCCCGGCGTCTTTTGCGAATGGCAAGTAGAACCAATCAGAATACTAGATTCATTACCGGCCTTTTGTGGATTGGTGCGCCGTAACACTTGGACCGGAAACCAGGCGACTAAGTTTTACCGACATTACAACTTTGGACGTATTAGACGTATTTGGCGTACTATATATACTGACTACATAGCTACTGATGTTTGACATGAAAATAAAACAAGCGTTGTGGTGACTACGGCAAGCTGACAGGTCATCGAACACCATGCTTTCAGAACGTTAGTACTGGCAATTTCCACGTCGCAGTCCAATATCATCCAGGGCAATATCACTCAGATAGCTATTGCCTTTGACTCCTTCAAACGTTACCTAATGAAATAATCCCCAAATTAACATAATTAAATAATCTCAAAATTAACATAATTAAATAATGTCAAAATTAACATAAATGAATAATCACGAAATTAACATAATTAAGTAATCCCAAAATTAACATAATTAAATAATCCCAAAATTAACATAATTAAGTAATCCCAAAATTATCAAAATTAAATAATCCCAAAATTAACACAATTAAATAATCCCAAAATTAACATGATTAAGTAATCCAAAAATTAACATAATTAAATAATCCCAAAATTAACGTAATTAAATAATCAGTAAAGAAATAACATGTCAACAAAATAAAGACGAATATTAATAACTATACCTTAAAATGTGACTGCCGGACAAGGTATACCATGAGAGAATTCCACTGATTGCCTTTATCACCCGATGTTGACCATACTGGACTTCCCATGACGTCACCATCATTGTAGATATACATATTTAAAGTACCCATGTGACTACCGTACATGTGATAGTAGAATGTCAGACACGAACCATTGGTGGCTGAGAAACTTGGTGAAACGATCCTGGCTTTATTTCCGTTACTTGTATTGGACGATTCGATGTAAATGTAATGACCTAAATAAGGATTGTTTTTATGGTGAATTACATATCAAGCACCTACGCCACTACGCAGCGCCCTCTATTGGCTAAACTTGCAAATTTGTGCGTCGTCAGTTATTTTAGGAAAACAACAACAAACCATCTCAACGCCTTATTTAAAAAAAATTACCGGAAACATTGTTTTGTGAGATCTTACTTAACGTAGACTCATGGACAGTGGACGCAGGGAACAGAGCGGACTTGTGAGAGGTTGATAACAAACAGAGAAAGTTTGAGGGAACAAATATCTTGTAAATCATCGAGTAAATTACGTACCCCGTCGAGATATACTATATTTGTGTGACAATATCACTCAACATACCGCTTGTATCTGATAATGTATGGTCCGCTATAGGTCCCGTGTTTGCAGTTAACGTAGGTCCACTTTTTAATAACGTCCAATCAAAGTCGTCAGACTGATCTTGTTGAAAGTCACATGGTCCGGATTCAAAATCGCACACAAAAGGTGACCCTGTTGACGGATTGAATAATTAATAATAATTACTATTTATAATTCAAGACAGATAAACAAACATTGGTATACAAAACATACACACGTATAAGTAGATAACGACGTCATCAACCCAGCGTAATATACAATGAGAATTAAAGAAGGAAACACTGTCGGAAAATTTACTTATAATAATTTATTTTCACATCGACCACAGAATCTATGATTTGCAAAATAAAAATCAAGATACTGTCATAACATATTTTTTCACCTTGTGGAAGACAACTACCGTCTCTGGCGCTGATATCATCTATTGCAAAATCACCACGGTAACTGACTCCCCTAATGCCTTCAAAGACAATCTATAGATGAGAAGAAAAAAAAAATAGTATTGATATCGCAGTACATATGAGTTTAAATTTTTACCAACAAAATACAAAAAAATGAACACGATTCTTGTATCCCGAGACTAGTGTAAAAAGCGTAAATCACTCCATTAGCTTTAAACCTTTCAAATTTCGCATATACAGACGGTATATTTCAATATTTATAATAATATTATTTCACCAGTTGAACCTCACCTGGAATGGAGAATCTGGTCGTACTTCAATCTCCGCTAACTTCCACATGTTAACTTGTTCACCAGTTAGTGAAAAGATTAATTCGCCTAAGGAACTAGTTCCAAACAGAGCTTCGGCTCTCATGTATACATTTATAGTCCCAACGTGTTCACCATACATGTGATAATAAAACCGTAAACATTTGGATTTGTCTGGATATATGGGCGAAACAAGTAATGCCTTATCGCCTTCGACACGTGGACTTGAAGACTCTATATACAAGTACTTGCCTGTGGGAAGAATATACTTTAATGACCGTCGAAATCTCGTTGATAGCGAGATATCACGAGAGTTGTTTTTGCATTGACGAATATGCCCTATTAACCGTGAAGAATCTTCTGAAATCAATCACTAAATATGCGGAAAAACATTACTTGAAAATAAACACCGTATTATTTACGAGTGAAGAATAAATTAAACTTAATTAAATTGGGTTTGAAAGAGCAATGTTATTCAGTGTATTATCTATCGATGTTTGTGTGCCATATTAGAATTTT